TCATGAGGAGGCGTTAGCATCTCGGAAACCGCTTTTGTTTCTTATTTTCATTTAAATGTGCCATCCTGCGGCGTGGGGTATCGTTTTTGTTTTTGTTTCTCCTTATCTTTGGGCTATCTTGGGCATTATTTCATTCTGCGGTCACGTAAAGGGCATTTGTATCTACTTTCTTCTTCTCAATGCTTAATCGTGCTCAAAAATCTCCACATACCGCCAAAACTCGATAAATTGGCTATCTCCGGCCAGGGATTATCTCTTTAACGATTGGTTGAACGCTATTGATCAGCCTCAGAAGTGACCATTAGTAGCTAATTTTGATCTTGCATGCATAGCCAATTTCTCGAGTTTTGGCGGTATGTAATGTGACGCTTTCGGTGTTTATGCAAGTCATCCAAGCAGTGAGATATCCTCCGATTGGAGGATCATGTTCAAAACATTACCACTATAGTGCATCTGCAGTCTGTGAATCACCCGACCTATAGATATTGTCCTATATGCAGTTCTGGCGTTTGGAATGCAGGGTAGTTCAAGTACACCTTCAGTCTTAGATTCTCACTCGGCTACGGAAGTGCAATCTTCCGGCATTTTCCAAGCCTTAATTTCGTTTGGAATTTAGTATCACTGACTAGTCATAATTTACAATCTTATTGGGGTATAAAGCCGACAAATCTATATGAGGACAGCAGGCTGGATCGGCATGTGCAGTCGAGTGATAAACCATGATGCACCGCCTAAATAAAATCTGAACGATTGATTGGTAGACGACTCATTGATTGTTTGGGGTTGGGCCCATTATAAATGGAAAGAATCTATGGCTAAGAAGTTTAGTAGAGATTGAGAATCTAGTGCCTCAATATATATATATTACGGCGACTACCATTAATTATATAAGCTTCTTTGATAGGACGAGTGAACTGTATTACATGTAGTTACATATTCGCTTATTTGATAGACACAGTGGATATAATTACATGTATTCTACCTAGATACATCGACAGAATGTACTTGGATCATCGGATTTAAGGGATAACATACGCATGGACATTTATATCTTATGATCAACTCCATGACCTTTACCAAAGCTGCCCTTTAAGGTACATGCAACTAAGTCGGTACGCGGTACGTGAATTACTTATAAGTATGTAAAAGCGTGGTTTAAATGTAACTGACGTAACTATATCTTTCTACACGTTCTACCACGTGCACCAGATAAAATATTGAAATCGTAACTACTAAGTGCGTGTAGGGTGTACAATGTATATGTACATACATACATGTAGGTACATGCATACAGGTTCTGTGGTGCCACTAGAACATCACAAAATACAACATACACTTAGATGTAGTCACCTCATCACTCAGACAAAATCCGTCCACCTAACAACAATTTAAGCTCTTCAAGTATCTGACTATTATAACCCATGAAGGGCTCCTACAACAGTTCGACATCGAATAGTAGCCACAGCCAGTCGATTACTAACAATATTTCGTAGCTACTGGTTTAAGCGCTTAATTAAACGGTAAGACGACTATCATCTAATCAACAGATCTCTGCTGATATGGTTAACACGCCAATCTATCTAACCTACATGTAAGTACCTATGCGGCGGCCTATGGTGTATATATGTACATGTATGTAGGGGGGCACTGTGGTGCACGGGATGTTAGTGCGGCATCTCGACAGCGCTAGCTTAGCCGGCCATATGGGGGCTATGGGTCAACCACCGTGCAATGATTAGGATTGCAACAATCTCTGTACATAGTACTACATTTAGGCCACCACCGCTTAATCGAACGCTTTATTGAATTAGTAGATACAGCGAAACCTTTGTGAATATATAATGGTCGCTTGATTGGCCAATTGAGCAACTCTAATATTAGCGGATTTAATCATTTAGGGCCCGTTTGGAGGAAGTAAAGTTTAGAAACCGCGTTAAGCAACAATCCTGTTAGCAACCGGCAAACAGAGAAATCCTTAAACGGGGTTTGGTTTGCAAACATGGATACCGTTTGGTGGGTTTAGCACATGTATTTTGGTGAGGATGTGCGTTGCAACATGGAAAAGCAAGTCAGACCTACTTTTTCAAAACTCCGTTAAAATCATCAAAACTGCACCTAAAAGTGGCATCAACTTTTCTCATAACGGGATTTTCAGTTTTAACGGAGTTTTTTGACTTTTAACTCCGTTTAGGCCGTTGCCAAACGCGCCTTTAGTCTATTACATTAAAGCGTTGGGCGATTGCCCGATTACAGGTAGTGTATTGCAATTTGGACACGGGCCATGCATGGGCTACACTATCTAAGCAAGCAATCAGTTTGGTTTACCCTTGACCGAGCCCTGTAGTCAAGGCTGCTGTAGCCACGATTAACACTACATGGAACAAGATGTACCACCATTAAGAACTCCCTTCAATCAACAGAATTTGCAAAATAGTTTTGCCTCTACGAGCTGGATCAAGTTAATTATTACTCAACTGGGACATGTGCGTTATTGTTAGTTAATGAGGCATCATTTGGCGGATGCTCTCTCCAAAGTTACCATCTTACTACACGCTCTTAAACCACGGGGCAGGCTAGCTGATTTATATACACGGTAGTATGTGCATGTGTGATGTTATAATGAAGCATCGACCCTTTTTTTTATATCCTCAACTCATGAGTATAAACATGTATAGTTACCATAATCAACTAGTATATCTTTTATTTCTAAGTGACAATTAATTTGATGTGGGCTTGTTACCTGTTCTAGAATTCTAAGATGCGCCTTTAGGGCTCGGGGTTAATTATTTTACGTCCGTCACAACAAGTCACTCGCCACTCTTGGCGCCACACGCGCCACATCTGCTCGAATTGCTTTATCTTTATATAAGTGAGTCTTCGTATAATATTAAGGAATATAACCAATTCAACATCAAAGGCAGCCCTGATATAATCGTATCCTGGGCTGGACCTGTTTTGAATTAGAATAAAGGTATTGAATCTGCCAAGATTTAGTTTGGTACTCAGTTTCTCGCCAAGAAGCCGATGGGATCGACTTTTTGCAACGCTGACACCTCCCTGTCTATGAGATTTCTACGTCAGCCTCCAGCAAGACCCCAAAACGACGAACAATCAACTTGTCGGAACAAGTGAGAGATGCCACCAGGACTCCTCGACTCCTCCGAAGACGATTGAATTGGTTTCACGATAGAATGGATCTTAGCGATGACCTTAGGTGGACAACTGAGATGTCCATCGGTATCAGAGATGAGGGGTTCATGTGTGAAGGATAAAATATCAACACTGGCCACTTCTTTCCCAAGCCGTTCTGGCAAGGCGATGGCTCGGAAAAAGTATTTTTTTTTCAGCTGCTTCCGCTATCCTCATCCTCCTCTTCAGATTTCACAGTTTCGGCGAATGGAACCCAGGAGAGAGAGAGAGAGTCAATCATGCCCATCGCCGCATGCCAACTCAACGCGACGGTCGAGCCGAGATAAACTCGAGCAGACTTGTTGCTGAGCCTCAATGAAGGTCCTCTGCAACCTGAAATTAAAAACAGGACCGGACGGATCTCTAATGTCTTTTATGAGATCTTTCGGAAGTCCCACGAAAACTCGTTTTAACTTGTTTTTATTGTTTCTTTCTAACTTGCTGGAGCTTCGTTGCGGCTGTGGCTTATCTCGGGTTTGGTATTCTCTCCCCGAGCCGGTCGAACAAAGAGCCCTTCGGCAAAGTGCTTCGACGGCACTGCTCTCCGAGGCGACATTAGTAGTATTAAGGGAATTTACAACTCTGGGCTGTTGAAGAAATCGTTTCGGAACAAAAGTTCTAGAGCCGAGACGGAACGCTTATCGGAACGCCGTTGGAACGGCCGACAGTGATTGCCCCTATTCCTACATGTGCCTAAGGTGTTGTTATATGACTTGTGAAAACCAGATGAAGTGAAAGGCACATAGGGGAAAACAGCGCAGTGCTGACAATCATCAAGGGTATGATTTCCATGTGGGATCATGTCATTCAAGCAGTGATCGGTGGAGGGCAGATTGCTGTGGGGGTGATTCCCCACACGACAGTTTTGGGGAACGAACTCAATAAGAAACATGGGTCAGGACATCTAAAGGTAAAGTCTGTCTTATATATTGGACTCTGTGAGGAACGATTTGCGGGATGATACTTGGGAGTTTTCTTCTGTGTCTTTTTGTCTTTGTGGGCTGTTCACTTGATTGCGGCAACTCATCAGATAGAAGTGTACACTCTCCTCTTCCATGGTTGCTGCTCTCAAATAAAAACTATATACATATAAGGGCAGTAATCAGGAAGAGGTAGAGTAGAAGATGGATATAAATTGGGAGGGTTAGTTTTGGTGATGATTGCTGGTGCTATAATTGCTGTGGTCTGGGAGAGCAGCAGAGAAACTCCACGAGCATCCTATCAACAGCGCCAGCGTCACCGACATCAGTACTGTCGGCAGCAGCGTCATCATCATACTTACCTTGCCAGCCGGATAGGGAGGAATACATAAAAAAGAAAAGAGGAGGAAGAGGAGCTGAGAGAAGAACCCCCGAAAGAGGTAGTTTTTCGAGTTGATCTCACAGGCTTGGCGCAAACCCCCAACCCTCACGCAACAGCGGCAACGAAGGAATCGCAACGCCTCTCCACCACCTCGCTACTCTCATTGCAGCCACAGCTCTATCAGAACAACTGCGATTATATCCCCCCTCAAAGCCCTCCTACCGACAATCGCCTGTACACGAAGGTCATATTGCGACATCGAGCATCCATCTTGCCGAACCCTTGGGTGCCTCTTTAGTATGCCTCCCATGTGAATTCCTGGAGGAATTCTCAATCGCTAACGAACTTTGTTGTTTCAGGTCGTTCTCACGAACTAAGCTTCGTGACACTCGTGACAATGTCTAAAGCTATGAAGCCTCCTCCAGGCCCAGGTCATCGTGACAGCAACAGAGATATGTGGCGGCCCAAGACCGAGGAATCTGAGAGAGGTAGAGAACGTCAAGACCGTTCTATTTCAAGAGAGAGAAGACGTTCACCCCCACCGACTGCATCAAGGAGGAGGCATGGTGGAGAACGTGAATCGTACAAAAGCCCCGTGAGGACGAGGGAGTTTGATAAGCCTCCTCAATCATCATCACGGCGAGGAAGGAGTAGAAGCGTGGAAAGCCGACGTTCGACTCGTTATGGGTCAATGTCACCTCCTCGTGCTTCCCGGAATGGACGACATACTGACGCCCCCTCCGAATCCCGTCATTCTACCTCACACCGTCACAAAAGACGGCATCAGTCTAGATCGCCGTCTAAACGCAGGAAGAGCCGGTCTCCCGGGCATTCTCACAAAAAAAAGACACGGCGTCCTCGTACGCGATCGCGAAGCCGTTCAGATGCAAGACGTACAAGGAAGGATAACTCACCTTCGCCAAGACCTCGATCACCACAAGGTAAAAAATATTCCCGTCGAGCTCCGTCAACAAGGGATCCCGACCGTAGAGATAGATCAGTGTCCTTTTCCCCAAGACGTTCTCCCCCATCTGCTTCGAGGTCGTATCGCAGACGTTCACCTCCGAGGACTCGGCCATTGCCAACACGTCGGCCCTCACCACCACCACCTCCCTCCCCGGGATATCAAAGGCCATCCTCTCGAAAACAATCACCGCCACCTCCGAACATGGGCCCTAGAGGTGATAGACGTCCTTTTCGTCGACGCTCCCGCTCACGTTCACCACGTCGTGGCCCTAATTCACCGCCGCCCTTCAGACGAGTGCGTTCACCCCAGCGTTCTCCACCACCGCCGTCGCCAATGAATAATGGTCGTTCTGCGACACCTCCAATGCTCACCAGGCCCACCCGCGTGAAGCCTTCACCACGGCCAGACCGATATTTTGAAGGTGACGATCGAAAGACTAACGTAGACTTAAATATGACCGATGTTTCTTCAGATAAGCTTGATACTCCGCCACATCGGGTGGTTTCAATACATGAACATGGCCCTAGTGTTATCTCGGGACGTGAAATGTTGGACAGTGATTCCCGGAAATCAAGCCCCCCTCATGAGTCTCATCATCAAAAACAAGATCATAGTGATACTGATAGCATGTCCCACCCACCACAAGCGGAATCTAGCGCTGGACCATACGTTAATCCTGATCGCCAGAGAAACATATTTTCTGGTGGTAACAATGAGTTTGCGGGCGGGAGGGGTCGAGGGCGGCCGCAGGATATGCATCATAATCAAATGTTCACATTCCTTTTATCTTTTGTTTGAAGATGACCAATCCGCTGACACGATTGATAGGCAACCCGCCCATGAGAGCCATGCACAGCAAAAGTACCCTCGTCGTGGGTCCCATGGCTCTACATCTTTCCATGAACAATCTCAACACCACGGCTCATCCCACCAACAGGGACCACCCCATTTTCAGCCGGGATACCGCGGACGTGGACGTGCTTACCGTGGAGGCCGATATTCACCGCCTTTTGAGCAGCGGTCGTCTACATATGATAGGCGCGGTTCTGAGCGTGGGCGTGGCGGTTATCGTGGAAGGGGTGGACCTGGGCATGACCATGGAGAGTCTGGTAGGGGAGGGCGCCGTTTTGATCCGCAAGACCAACATCCACCCTCCACGGAAAACAGCCGCCACTCGCAACCTTCATCTCCTGGCAACGATTCTCATCCCTCAGCAGTTGAGATCCGGGCCAAAGAGGAGCCCGAAGCGATTCACCAGAATCTTGATAGTGACGAAATGATGAGAGATGACCCTGGTCATGAAAATGAGAAGGATCAAGGGCACACCGATATGGCACCGCCAACTGGCCCTGCCCCAAAGAGCCCTCCTCAGCCTCTAGATACTCGTGCGTTTAAACGCATTGGCGGCTCGAACGATGTCCGCAATGCTATCAACCAAGAAGAGAAAACGAGTAATGGGTTTAGGCCCTTCAGCATCTCCCTCGGAAAAAGCAGGGTCGGCCCGAAAACTGCGATGCTTCCGAAAGCTCTTGAGGCCACCCGAGAGAGCGCCCGCGAAACTACTCGGGAAAATCCTAGTGAGAATGTTCGTGAGAATATCCGCGAGAATGTTAGGGAGAGTGTGCGGGAAAATATTCGGGAGAACATCCGCGATAATTTTCGGGAGAACATCCGTGAAACAGGGCGCGAAATCAGCCGCCAAAGCAATCGTGAGAGTTTCCGCGATCATTTCCGCGACAACGGTCGACATCCCGACCGACATCCCGACCGGGAAAGCGGACGGGACCTTGGTCGTGGGCGAGACACCGGCCGCGATATTGGACGTGGTGGCCGTGATGTCGGGCGGGATAACGGTCGCTATCTTAGCCGTGATATCGATCGCAACGCTGGTCGTGAGATTGGGCGCGAAGCCTACAATAATAGCGGCCCACCAACTTCTGGCTGTAATAGCGCTCCGTTGGGGAAGAATGCCGTAACGCTCAAGCTTGCAGCGAAGAGAGAAGCCCCCGTCGTCAATAACGGATCTGATATCCCCAAGCGACAAGTTGAAGTAGTCAAAACGCCCGCCGTGGCCAAGCCCATAATCATTGCAAAGGAAACATCTATCTATAATAGGCTTAGTATGGTTGGGGAGGGAACTTATGGGTAATTCATCTTCGCTATTCAAAAAAATCGGCATACTAATTAATCTACAGAAAGGTTTACAAAGCATCAAATAATATCACCAAGGAGTTAGTAGCTCTGAAACGGATCAGAATGGAGAGTGAAAAAGATGGTGTAAGTTTTCTTTCTATTTATATACGAGCTATACTAATGATTTCAGTTCCCCATCACTGCTGTCCGAGAGATGAGGTTATTGCAAGCACTCAAACAAGACAATGTAATATGTCTATTAGAGATGATGGTTGAGAAAAGTATGCCCCTGTCTTTATCCCAAGAGCTTAGTGAGATATTGATGCGCTTTAGGTGATTTCTACATGGTTTTTGAGTACATGGATCATGATCTTACCGGTATTTTGAATCATCCAACTTTCCGGCTGGAGCCTTGCCATATCAAGCACCTTGCAAAGCAATTCTTCGAAGGTCTTGAATATCTTCACCATCGCGGTGTTCTTCATCGGGACATAAAAGGCTCCAATATCCTATTGAATAATGATGGCCAATTAAAGATTGCCGATTTTGGTCTTGCAAGGTTCTACACCAAAGCAAGTAAGAAGCAATTGGATTATACCAACCGAATCATCACACTTTGGTATCGCCCACCCGAGATTCTTCTAGGCGCTACAGCCTATGGTCCCGCCGTTGACATCTGGAGCGCTGGTTGCGTATTTATCGAGCTCTTCACACGTCTGCCTGTCTTCACTGGCAAAAATGAGATTGATCAATTGGATATCATTTACAACGTTATGGGGACACCTTCAGAAAGGATTTGGGCTGGCTTGAAGGAGACTCCCTGGTATGGACTGTTGAAAACGCCTGCAAGAAGGAGACCGAAATTTAGAGCGAAATACGAACCGTATGTTTAATCCAACTGCCACTATATAACCATTACTAACGAATCTCTTCTGCTCAAGGCTTCTGCCAGAATCCGCGCTAGAGCTTGTGACCCAGATGCTTGAGTATGATCCTGATAAAAGACCCACTGCTGAGGATTGTCTAAAGCATCGATATTTCTCAGAGGAGCCTGCTCCCGCTCCTCCACTAGGGTATATTTATTTAATAAAATTCCTGGATTGATCTTCGGTTTTTCTAACAGTGCTTTTTTTTTTTGCAGACTCCGAGATTTGAAAGGGGATTGGCACGAGTACGAATCAAAAATTGAGCGTCGTAAAGAGCGCGAAATTAATGACAAGAAAAAGCGAGCTCAGCATGAATTGGAGAAGAAGAAATGGAGGGAAACCCGCGAGGCAGAGAAGAGAAAACTTGCGCAACAGGAATACGATCCCGAGAGACCACCAATTAGCGATTCCACTCCAACAAATTCCTCAGTCCCGGTCAAACGGAAGCGCGACTCTTTGGACGCGGATGATCTTGCATCCGGTACCAGCTCTGCTTCCAAGAAACGGGTAGAGTGACGCATTCACGGCGACAACACAAGTTACATCTATCACTTCAGGATTTATGAATGCGAGAGATTGTTAGAAACGTAGGGTTAGATATGTGGCCTTTTGATTCTGATGAACACTGATGTTTTCTTTTTTTAACAAAAAATTGGGGGAAACGAGGCGTTTGGCATTTGCTTTTCTTTTGCTGAGGTATCATTTATTTTCTTCTTCCTTTATTCTTTCTCTGCGCAACTGATCTTGGTAGTATCGATTATACCTATCTTAGTTGTTGCACAAAAAATTACGTCTCACTTAGTTTTGCGCGTTTTGATAACCAATTCCTCCTCTCTTCTTATCGTTTGCTCTTTTTTATCCCCGCCTCTTCTTTTTTGTTCACCATTTTCCCTCCTGAGCCATAGAGACAAGGATCGTTTCTGCATTTCTTTCTGTCTCTTGCATCATCGGACTTCTTTGTATCTTACTTTCATCTCCCCCTTCTCCGCCCTCCTCCTACCCCCCAATATTGGTTTGAGATTGAATTGTCCACTGCCCATGGTGGTGGCAGTTAATCTGTCTCACTATCAATAATTGGTTGCCTTTCTTTCTCTTTTTTTTCTTCCTTTTATTACTATCGTAATAGTAGTAAACTTTGAGGGTGCTGCTAGGGGGTATACTATAGTTTGAATGTAGGAAATGACGATTGTGTGTGTGTGTGTGCGTGTGTGTGGGGAGAGGTGATAAATAGGGGTAATTTGAAAATAAAAATAAAGGGTTTGACAGGAAGATATTTTTGGTGTGTGTACTGTCTATAGAGCGGTGGCATTACTGGAAGTTGTAGATGAAAGATCATGTCTAGACCAACACGGGTGGGGAGGGTAATGATTGTTGAGACAAATATGATGAGCCTGGCTAGCAATGATTTCTGCAACAACTTTTTATCGAACCTCACGTGTGCTGTCACAAATAGGGCTGACTCTCGCGAACCTTTTTTTTTTTCATAATGCAATCAATCATTCATATAATATAGTTATATGGTGTAATATAGCTACACCTATAGATGTATTTTTAGTTTCGTCTGAGACAATCATTCTAATGCTGTATGTACTTTTAAGTATCTACTGTCTGCATCACCTCCAACTTCAAATCTTAGCAGCCGCGACCTCCGAGGACGGAAGATGGAATCCATTGGCGACCGCCAACATGAGCTGATGCGCAATCGCCGTAGCCGGTGGAAGTCTCAAATCACCCTATATTATCGAACCACATCCCCCAGTCAGCCCCCCCACACTACCTAGTCTCGATCGATCACACCACCCGTGGAAAATTTAAAAGTGGGAAAGAAGGAAAGAAAGAAAAACATACCTCCTTATACCCCTCCGGGGGTGCATCATGAAGCCCATTCTGCGGCGCCTCCAGCGCAGCCTTGACTTTTTCGATGGGGAACCACTGGGCATCCTGGAGCTCGGGGTCGTGATTGAGCTCGATTTTCTCGCCGTCGGGCAGGGCCTCGCCGATGGCACCGATCATGAGGTTGTTTGGGTAGGGCCATGGCTGGGTGGAGTGTATTACGACGCGGCCGACGCGGACGCCGGACTCTTCCCAGGTCTCGCGGCGGACGGCTTCTTCGAGGGACTCGGCGGGCTCGCAGAAACCGGCGAGGGTGCTGTAGAAGTTAGGGGGCCAGCGGCGCTGGCGGCCGAGGAGGAGGTGGGTCCCGGCGGCGTTGAGGATCGCCATGATCACGGTGGGGTCTGGGGGATATTAGTGGGGTATGCGGGGAAGGTAGGGATGAGGGGTGTTTGGTACCAGTTCGGGGGAACTGGAGAGGTTAGCTTGTGGGCTTGTTGTCAGGGACAGGAGGAGTGCTTACAGCAATGTTGTGGACTCCCTTTCGGGAGACACAGGGCGGGCGCTCGAATGGCGCATCATTTGGAGACTTTTGGAACGCCTTGTCGAATTGAGGACATGTCCGCTTAGTTCCAGCATGGACCGAGATTGTACGGCCTCCGCACGCAGCACAGAACTGGTTGCGGCTGTTCCAGTCCATTAAGCTCCTTGCGTGCGCCAGAATCGCGGCTAAGTCAAAGTCACATCAGCACTAGAAACTCCCTCCTCTCTCTCTCTCTCAGGAGCCCATACCATCTCCTGGAACCAAGCTCAGGTCAATTCTGACTTTGCGGAACTCATAGCCGGGTTCCTTTGTCGCCTCCTCTGCAACCTTCTCAAGCTTCTCCTTCAGCTCCCCTTCCTTGGGGCTGATATCCAGTGCAAAGAAGGGCTGCCCCTTGTAGTTTCCACCGGCGCCACTGTACTCGAACGTTGAGTCCGTGGCTTTCTCGTCGAGACCGAGGAATATGAGTGTTGGCGCGCTAACCCGAGAGTCAAAAGCCTCGATGGTCTTTTCTTCGTCGAGATCATATGGCTTCCCGATCAGGGAGGAAACGCACTCGTATTTGACCCATCCGAGGTTTGTTTTTGAGGATGCGAGAGGGTCGAGGTCGCGGAGGAGGAGGAAGCGGGATGCGGGGAGGGCGGCACGGAGGAAGGAGGTGTTGGAGCGGAGGAAAGAGACCCGGTTAAGAGGAGAGCCTGGGGGGTGTTAGCAATGCCTTAGGGGGGTGAAAGGAGACAGAAGCTGCGTACCGGAGAAGTAGTTGACGACTTCGCGGCCGAATTTGCGGGAGAGCATGGAGTTGGGATACTCGGCGCCTTCAGAGCTGTAAGGTGGTGCTTCCATTGCTTGCTGGGAGGTGAGATAGTTGGTAATGGGTGAACGGTAGATAGGGCTCAGATGCAATCACTCACTCGTTCACTCACTCAAGGTATTATTGAATGAAGACGGTGGGGATTAGCTGCTCTACAGGACTTTACGGAGGAGGAAATATGTCGTGAATTCCGTCGACTAATCCACGACCTAGGATCCATGCTGGCTCCTCCTCAGGCACCGGAGGAGATAGGAATAGTCCATGATGCAGTTTCTCCATTTCTCAGCAAGCCAACCTCGGGAGAAAACATGCATTTCTAATCCTCACACCCATCCCATACGGTCCAATCCCGTCTTGTTCTACTGCAGCGGTGATACTCGGTAACCCCGCCACCAGACCCAATGGGTCGCTTATCGCCGTGTCACGTGAAAGGCCAGCTGCTTCATATACGAGCACTCGGAAGACCCTGTGGCTTGGCGCTAACGTCCCTGTGGGACTACAAGACCTCGAGGTTTAGGCTATTGCGAGGGTTTGAGAATCCTCCTGTCGAAAACGAAGGACGGGCATTTAGTCGCTTGTCCACAAAAAGGATCGAGCCCGCGATTACGATGGAAGCAGTGTGGTCCACGAGGACGCTCGAGGCAAGGTTTGAGATTATCCTCGAGGAGCCTCGTCCTTGTTCTTATCTAGCTGTCCTCGAAGTCTGGCATCGCTGTCCTTTTGAATCACTGTCATTGTGTGTTATCAAGGATATGCCCTCGACGTAAGGACACAAGGACGCTCGTGGACCACACAAGATGGAAGTCGATAATAGGACGCACTGAGGAGCCATGATAAGTACTGTAGGCGGTGTTCTGTTTGAATGGCTAATACATGACCAAACCATTGGATGATGAGAGGGGCGCCGGCTAAGACGATTAATGTATTGGAAAGACTAGGAGGACTTCTAACTTTCTACATCTCGCTTAAGGACAGATCCCCACCCCATAAGCCCACGGCCTCACTACCTGTAGTCTCGTGCCCATTCCTACGGATAGCTGTGGGAGGGCCGGTAATAAACCTGCGGTTTCACATACATGTATGTGCCCTACTCAAGTACAATGTGACAGTGTCTTCGAGAAGCTCTCCTCCAGTATATTGCCCGTCAGACTCGCCTACATAAACAGACATTTTCATCACTGGACCAGCTACTGGCCAAGGCCATCGATCCGTTATGATTATTATCCCGGCCAATGGCCCTCCCAGGATCGATTCAAATGGCGCCTATGTTTCTATGGTCGAGTCGTTGCTTGATATAGCTATGTTACCATCACCTTATATTTGTTTCTAGGCCAAATATGATGAGTTTTGTCTTCATCTTCTTGTGTTTGTCTCAGCTATTATACATCTCCCAGCACAGGGGCTGCATCATTTTCCACTTCTTGGTGTGTTTTTACCATCGAGGTCAACGAGACCAGTTGACTTGAGTCCTCGACTCGAACCCAAAGCCCGAGCAACCAACATACTGCGGATGAGAAAATCCAGTTCCGACGTGAGCTTAATTCTCGTCCACGCTTGATACATTTCGGACTCGGTTCTAAGCACACGAGACTTAACCCGAAAGACCCGGGGTTTCCTAAGGTGTCTTTGATTAAGCTAAGATGGATGCTGCGCATGGGAAACCTGCTTAGGAATCACTCAGAATCTGCAAGTCTCAGCATTTTACAGATTGCCCTCAGGAGTAGAAGAAAGGCCTCAGAGTAAAGTCTCAGGACCTAGTTTGTGCTCGTTATCTGCTACGAATAGTTTCAGATTCTCTTATCTTCTGACACAGCTCGTGATGGTAGGCCTTGGGCAGAGTATATATGAGCGAGATGGAGTAAATGGGAAGTTTTGAAGCTTTCTCCAAGTAGTCTCGATGAAATTCGTATGGCGCCTATTCGCGGACAGTTTTCCACTAGATTGTCGGTTTGCATGGGAATAAAGATAGATAGTTAGACCGGGAGAGTTGCATCAGTAAACCCCTAGTCGTAGAAAAGGCATTAAAAGAGGGACATCGTGGCCCGGTATCAATGGCGGAGAAATTTAGCGAAACAAGTTTGAAAGACCGAGCCCCTTCGATGGCCTTGGTTATATTTTTAAGTGGTTGTTAGAAGTTGGTGAGCGCCAGTTCGAGGTCTTTGGCAAGGTAGTATGGTGGGGTTAGGGTTATCGTCCTCGGCCATAGACTTTTTTGCCGCATGCTCTAAGCTAGGAGTCAGGACAGAGATCGAGAGTAAACACGGGCCTGCATAAGCTAATGAGTTCCTCCTCTGCAGTATTATATATACCGTACGGCATACGTGACTGTCAGCTATAACGTATGCTACAACTGTGGACTTATGGCGAGGAAAAGGTGGCCTGAAAACCTGCCCTCAATCATGTCGTATAAAGCTAGAAACTCTAGTAGTCCTGTGAATACATCACCGCCTCTCTTCTCATCCAATAGTTTGGTCTTGTTACAGCCATAAGAACAAACAACGCCTTAATTACAGTACCTGGCCATGGAACTACATGTAATTTACGCTGAGCTTTCTACACAGACGTATCTTCGTCTATGCGGGACAGATCAATTGATTGGATTTGCAATGGCGTGCGATTAAGAGACATCGATTCGAACGGCCGCCCTCTTGTGTGTAAAGACTCGACACAAAAGATCAATTGCTCTGGTGGGCATTATTACTACTATTATTAATATCGCCCATTACGGCTAGCGCCAGTGCGGCTCTTCACTTGCAAGCTTACCGTGCAGCAGCTAAGCTAGTTCCGTTCTGTTCTGCAGCAGGGTTAATCTTTTTTTCCCTTCGCAGCACAAAATACCTATCACTCCCAGTCCAGCAGCACAGCACACACAAAACACACAACTCACATATATACAGAATGCCTTCATCTACCCACAATGTAGATCCGCGAAGGGTACGATACCTCCCTACTCCCACGCCTCTACCCCCCCCCCCCCCCCCAACCACACACACACACACACTGAGAGCTAACTCACCCCGCCACAGGTCGTCGGCGTCGAGGCCGAAATCGTCACAAATGTCACCTCCACCGACTTTCCCGGGCACTGGCCGAACGAGGACCACTCCTGGGACATCAACAAGTTCAAGCAGGTATGCACTTCTCCTCTCTCTCCTCCTTCTCAGGCTGTCTCTAGCTAACATTTCCACAGACCTTTAAAGTCGTTTTCCACAAGAACAGTCCACTCTTCGCCGAGTTCGACCTGATCCACATTGACGCCTCGATCGCAAACACATTCCGCCGGATCCTGCTCGCAGAGGTGGCGACGCTAGCAATTGAGACTGTCTATGTATCCAACAACACTAGCATTATCCAGGACGAGGTTCTGTCCCATAGGTTGGGCTTAATACCCTTGACGGGCGACAAAGCGGCATTACGAGCTATGAAGTGGTACACCAGTACGTCACCCCACCCCCCGTTCCCGCCCCCTCCGCCCCATTAACACACCCCGTAGAAGCCGCCCCCGGCGAACCCACCCGCTACCCCACCGACGAAGACACCATCGTCCTCCACCTCCGCGCTACCTGCGAACGCCTCCCCGGCGCCAAAAAGTCCGAAACCGATCCCGACAAGCTCTACAAGAACCACTCCGTGCACGCCCGTGACCTCATATTCGAGCCCGCCGGCAAGCAAGTCCAGTCCTTCGCGGCCAACCCCGTGCGCGCCGCAAACCCCGACATCCTCATCGCCAAGCTGAGGCCAGGCCAGGAGATCGATGTGACCATGCACTGCGTCAAGGGCATTGGGCAGGACCACGCCAAGTTCTCGCCGGTAGCGACGGCGTCATATCGGTTGCTGCCGCTGATCAAGATCAAGAAGCCGATCCTGGGGCGGGCCGCGGAGAGGTTTGCCGCGTGTTTTCCGAAGGGGGTTATTGCGTTTGAGGCGGATCCGAACACGGGGGAGAAAATGGCTGTGGTCGGGAATGCAAGGAATGATACTGTTAGTAGGGAGGTGCTGAGGCATGAGGAGTTTAAGGGCTTTGTGGAATTGGGGAGGGTTAGAGATCATTTCATCTGTATGTCTACACTCCTTCTCTGTTTGTCTGTGGCTTTTGGTTTGCTGACATGATGCGGTGGTGTTAGTCTCTATCGAGTCCTCGGGTCAGTTCGACGCGGACGAGCTGTTCCTGTCGGCGGTGGCGACGCTGAAGGCCAAGTGCACATACCTTAAGCGCGACACGCACAGAATGCTGAAGAAGCAGGCACTCGATGCCCGCAGCGGGAGGGATCAGAGTAGACTGAAGCGTGGTGACCGAGGTTGGATGGAGTAATTAACTAGGGGCAGGGGCGGGAAAGAACAATTTGTAGATAGACATAGTTATTGCGGTGGTGGGAAAAAATTGATTTTCTTTGTTGTGCATTAAATTCTGTCATGTGACGGACATATATTCACCAGTGATCACTCGGCACCAAGACAGCCATAATACTCAAAGACAGAGGGCAAGAGAAATGGATGGACGTAGGGAACCGATCCGGCGTAGCGGGTGGTGAGGACGGGTTGGTTTCAGCGTCGAGTGATACTTCGTGATCATCAGGCACATCTTCCATAGTTTCGCGATCGACCTCCCGGAGAAATCAGGCGATGATGGCTGATTATGGCGGCGTGGGCCTTTTAGCTGTTGAGTGTATCGATCCCCCCCCCCTTCCTTTTGAAAGGGGGTTATTACTACAGGGCTAGAGGGGGCTCATACTCCCACCTCTCTTGGTATGCTTAGTAGCCCACTGCCCGCAATCAATCGTCTCCCAGTCCTATTTCCAATCTTCAATGTTACCGAAGTCTCGCCTCACACCGATCACCACACAACACCAACCCACACAGCACGGGATAACACAAGATGACACCTTCGCGTTCGTCATACCGCTGCATCACAGTCCATCACTCACATCCCACGCACAACGGCTACCACACATGAGAACGCCAGAGATCCATATCACCAAGCACAAGAAAAAAGAGTGGTATAAGTGCCCATCTGTATATAATCCCCCCCACCCCCCCCACCCCTTCGCAAAAGGCAGAACAGAACCCACAACAAAGATCATAGACTACTAGATACAAGTATCGTATATAATACCACCAACTTTCCCTCCACCTTACTTAAAGGAATGAGACAAGGGGGGATTTTTGCAAAACTATTATTCCCCCGGCCCCTCTCAGGTTTTTAATACACTGTTTTTTTTTCTTTCTGCACTGAGCGGGGCGAAGGGAAGAGAAGTAACGTAAAGAATAAAAAGGAAAAGGAAAAGGAAAAAAAAGGAACACAAACGCGCGCGCAGAAGAGGTATTTTTTGGCTTGTTTAATGTTGATGTACCTGGACTGATTTTGCTTCCCCATTTCCATCGCTATCGGATATCCCATCCTGACGACCCATACAGCAATCCAAAACAGGAAACAAAACATTGGACAAAGCCCTCGCAATCATCTGTTATCCGCTCATACCCCAACTGCTCGCAACCTTCATGCCCCACCAAGCACAGGTGCTATCCATCCTTACAAGCTAAGCATTATTCGTTACGTTTGACGTCTCTTGGAGTCTGATTTAACCTCTGTCTCCCCTCCGAGGAAATTAGCCTTTTTCCCGCTTCACCGGACTCGAAACATGGGGGTGGGGCCAAAAAACTTACATGCTGATTCTCCTGGCAACTCTGTTCAACTCTTTATCGTTGTCGGCCTCTCTGACTGCAGTCCTCATGGCCTCTTCCTTAGCCTCTTTTCCTCTCTTCTCGACTTCCTCGTGACTCGGTGGCAATCTCTCGTTTTGCAGATCGACCTTCCTTGCCTCCTCGAAAGACGTAATGGCCTCCTTGATACCTTCAGCACCGAGCATAAGCATTCCAGCGGGTAGCCTGCCACCCGTTGCGGTCTTGAGCTCAGTAACACGCTCCGACTCTTCTCGCAAGACCTGGAATACACGCGACAGACGGCCGATGGCGAGAATCTTGTTCTTGATGGCACGGCGCTTGGCGTCTGGGCTGTTGGGATCCAGATCGACTTCAAGAGGTGGCGACATGGGATCTGTTCCAGTTGGCGAAAGTGAATCGTCTTCGAGCTCTTCCTTGGAGCAAGTGTTAAGGATGGCGATAAGCATATCAGTGACTAAGTGATTGTAGTCTGTCAGCTAAAGATAACTTGAATAGTCAAGTAGGTATACAAACTCTTCTCGCCGACGAACGGAAGTGACCAGGTAAACACATCCATAAAGTTTGGTAGCCAGTAAGGATGCGGTGTGCAGTCTAAGTCAACTCGGTCAGTCCCTGCGTACTTATTCTCGATCGCCACATCTTAAAAAAAACTTACTAAACTGCCTAATGTTCATGACGTTGTTCTCGTATTTTAACACGGCTGCCTTGTTGTTATACACATCCAAGTAATTGGGTGCGGAAAAGATAGTCATGACACTGGGGAAACCAGTCGTCTTGGTCTTCCTGTACATTCTGTAACCTGCATCCTGCGCTTCATGGGCACGAATGACAGAAAGTAGGTTGTTCTTCTCGAGGAAAGAGCATGCCGCAGGGTATGAGAAAAAGTACGAACAACCGCGGACGTTGTTGTGGATGAAGAAATCCGAGGTCTTTTCTTGTCCGAATTCCTCAAGTGGATCCGCCCAAAGGATATCGCACATTAAACCGTGGGTAGGAGGTTCGCGGAAGCGATCAATCTAGTAAGATTATTAGAACCCAAGATTCGTACACGGGACGTAGCAACATATGAATGAGCGACATACACTTCGGAGGTCGTCAAGTGTCTGCAGCTCGGGACTCAGTCCACCGTGGATACACAAGAACTGCTTGTTCATGACGGCAGCTAAGGGCAAAGCGCAGAAACTGTCCATACAAGCTTCATACACACGTTCGGAATATTTGTGCTTGCCTATGATTCCCAAAACCGGATTAGATCAGGGTCTATCTCAAGACCGGATAGAGAGAAGGAAAAAAATCCAAGAATTCATATAGAATCTCAAAGACATACATTCCAACTTGAACGTAAAGTAGTCGGTCAAATGTCTGCACTCGTGGTTTCCTCTCAGAAGCCAAAGCGTGTTCGGATAGTGGATTTTCAAAGACCATAGGTACAAAACACACTGTGGCGAAAGCTTCTTAGCGGGTATTCACCTCCAACGAAGGGGGGATTTCCAGACTGGTTTTGATAACATACCTCAATACTGAAATACCCTCGATCCACATAGTCCCCCAAGAACAGATACCTGGTCTCCTCCGGGTTGCCACCAACCTCAAACAATTTCATCAGATCGTAATACTGCCCATGGACATCACCGCACACGGTGATGGGAGCATCCATCTCGAGGAGATTGGGCTCGGTCTTAAGGACCTCAGTGCATCGTGACAAGATGAAGAGAGCTTGCTCTTCAGTCAGACGCCCTTCACGATAGAAATGCTGCTTGAGGAATGCGAGGTTGGGCTTGGTTGGGTCGTTAGGGTCGTAGAATTGGTCATCGCGAGGTTTGTGGAAAGCAGGAGCTTGCACATCTAAACAGGCGATGAAAACAAGACGATTAGCATTCTGTCATGGGACACACATTGGCCAGAAAAGATTGCTATATGAGATATCTTTGGTCCCCCGTAGAAACAAGAGAAGTAGGTAGGGGCTGGACATCAAGGGGTGGGTGATGAAATCATAGCCAGCAAGTATATCATCAGATACCCTCTGCTGTGGGGTCTTAAATAATGGGAGATGGACATCTTGAAGGTCCGCCAAAAGACCGGTATATAGATGGATAAGGCATCTTCCAGCTAGACCCATGATGGTTCCCAGTTTTTCCCAGCACCTGCACACGCACACACAAAAGCTCAACACGACATACCTTTGCACACTCGCTCCAGGGTCGACACCTGGGTTCCATCCTCCATGGTATGCAGGGTGAAATCGATCTCTGGTATCGGCTTCTTCTCGCTGACAGCGCGGATGGCATTCTCGAGCTTCACGTTCACTGCGGGAGCATTGGAGTCGGCCATTGTGACGGGTTGATTGATTTGGAGATTGGAAGGGTATACGGAGGAAGGAGGAGGAGAAAGGGAGAAAGGGAGGCGTCGCTAAGCACGGGCACCAAAGTGAAATCCTCCAAGTATCGTAGGGTTCAGCAAACTTCTAGAGGATGCAGAGATGAATGTTGTAGAGGTGATGGGTTAGGTGGCGGAATTGGGGGGACGGGGGAGAGGACGGGGAAGGAAGGTGGATGGTGGTGATGGCTTGGGGGTGATGGATGTTGTTGGGTTGGGTTGGACTGGACCCGTGAACGGAGACGACGACGGGAGAGAGGGGTGGTGGTGGTGGTGGTGGTGGTGGTGGGATGAGCGGGGTTGTAAATATGTAACTTATGCAATGGGGAATTATTTCTTCAGTTTTCCTCTCTTCCTGTCTTTCTTGCTCACCCTCTGTGCTTCTCTGATTCTACTAGGGGAAGAAGGAAAAGAACCCAGAAAGAATCGCTAGAAATAGAGGAGCGAATGTTCGCAAGAAAACCTAAGCTCTTTTTTTGCGCGCAGAGAGACAGGCGGGGTAGTAGGGTAGTATGCACTTCTATGTATGTATGTGTCCGGGCTGTTGCTGTTGGCCGGGGGTGGTGGGATATCTGGTAAGGATAAAGGGGCGAGATTGTGGGACCCAGCAACGGGAAAGGAGAGAGCAAATGGAGTCAATGGTCATGCTTGCCAGTACTCTATTGTAGCGGGTGTTGGAGCTGCTGGAGTGCTGGTGACAATTGTTGGTGGTTATGCTACATGCTACTACTTGCCTACATGTATGTACCTACTCGGCCCAATATGATGGCTCTGATATGAAGAGCTCACAGACTCAGACTCCAAGTTCAGGGGGACGAGATTGCTTTACAAGCAGGCTAGGGCAAAGAGAGTATGCGTAAACCACAACAGGCAGCAAGTGCACGAGCAGGCTGCGATAAGAAATTAGAATAATAATCATCTGGGCAGCTTCTTGTATGAATTGGGATCGATTTCTCTACTGTAGCAAGTGACTAACCGACAGAAGCAAGGAGGGGAGGGAAGGGAGGTGTTCCACAGCACAGTATTGAATGTGGTCAGAGCTCGTGGCAAAGAAGGGTCCTGCCGAACGAAGCTTGTGGAAAAGAGGGTTCGAGGAGGAGAGAAAAAAGAGAAAAAAGGAAAAGTCCAGGGACGACACAACCACACAACCACCACACACACACCTTCCACCACCACCTCCACTCCCTGACCGAAAAACAAAGTGCCGACGAGCTTCCTTCGCCGCCCCCGCACGCGCACGCGATGTGAACCTGCACCCTATCGCTGGTAGAGAATACCCAACAGACAGATATGGGGCGCTGCGTATGGCCCGAAACATCGATAGCTACGAACCCTGGAGTAGGGCTGAGCTCCGAGTTTCACAGAGAATCATCATGCATGAGCATGAGAACATTATATGCGAACAACGCGCCCGAACGGCCAGTTGGAATATTGCAATATCTACCACATACACATACATGTTCTAGATACCGGGGATATAGTTGCACAGTAATCATTGCTTAAATTGCTCACCGGCATACCGTTTGGGAATTGTTTGTCATGCTGAGCTTGGGGGATGGATATATTGCAATGGGAGGAGTACTTTGAGCAGTTTCTTTGAGCTGAGGCGATTTCAGCTCAATTGCTGTTGGGAATCCCAGGCAACAACACCTTCAACCACCAAGCTGTTAGCTATGGCTTCCTGCTGCTTGAAACTCCCGCAGAAGAGGCAGCCAAAGGTTCTGATACTGAACAATGAGCTTTACCTTCACCACGGGTTCTACGTGGATGATTAGGTCAATCCCAATGACCTGTTGCATTGGCAGTGTGTGTGTCTACAGAGCAGAGCAGAGCAGAGCAGAGCGGAGAAGAGCACACAACAAGCGCTCTCACTCTATCTGCAACTGCATCAATCAATGGCCCCAGCTAAAGCAACGGGCCCTAACCCACATCACGTGAGCACTCTCTTGGCGCACGGGACCCCAACAGCCAGCCCTGAGCCCTACCCGGCCAGGGGTGCTCAGCGGCTCTTGTCGGGGCCTCTGATTCCTCCTCTCCCGCCGAAACACCCCCATCGCACGCATAGAAACAACTCCTCCTCCTCCTCCTCCAGGTCAATGTCTGGCTCACACACGCCGTCCACTGAGCCAGCAGCACAAGCTGAAGCTGGCTCCAAAGCCTCCTCACCAGCCCCCGAGTCCCCCAAGCCCCTCGCCGCCGCCGCCGCCGCCGCCGCCGTAGATACTAGTAATGATACCACCACCACCACCACCTCCTCCTCCTCCTCCTCCATAACCAACGAGCCCGATAAGGCATCCCAAGACGCCGCCCTCGCCGCCCAGCAGACCTCGCGCGAAAGCAGCCGCGAGGAAGGCGAGGAAGACTCCTCCGAAGAAGAAGGCGAGGAGCCCGAGCCCCCCCCAGAAGCCACCAGCTCGCAGCCCCCACTGCCCCCCGAAGCCCCCCCGACAGAGGCCGAGGACAGCGACGGCTGGCAGCCCATCTGGGACGGCACCTACCAGGCCTACTACTTCTACAACTCGCACACCAACGAGACGACGTGGACAAACCCGCGCGTGCCGGAGGCGACGCTGGCGACGGCTGTTGCTGGCGACCCGCCCCTGCCGCTCGAGGACGAGCCGGACCCGAACCTGACGTACAATCCCGCCATCCACGGCGACTACGACCCCACGGCTCCGTATGCGCAGGTGCAGAATGCCGCCGGTGCCCAGGGCGACGAGTATGTGGCGCGTGGGGCGTTCAATCGCTTCACGGGTAAATTCCAGCCGGCGGCGTCGAGGCGCGTGCCCGAGAACTATAATGACGAGAACAAGTCGCGGCGGCAGATGGAGTTTTATTTCGATGTTGATGCGGCGGCGAGCACGCATGATGGGCGCAGCCTGAAGGCGGAGAGGCAGACGAGGAAGCTGTCGAGGAAGGAGGTGAGGGAGTTCCAGGAGAAGCGCAAGGCCAGGAAGGAGGAAAAGCGGAAGGCGTGGTTGAGAGACTAATTCGACGGTATTTCTTTTTTTACACACGAAAATTCAACTTTTTTTGATTTGGCGGCAGATGGGGAGAGAGAGCATCATCATCAGTATCGTCGGTAACTGTCGACTCGAAACTCTATAACGTGGCATTGGGCTGGTTTTCGGCGTTTTTTTTTATATTTCTTTTATGTCAAGTAAATCTATTTCTTGTGGGGTTGCGGGTCTTTGATAAGTCGTTTTTTACCCTTCTTTTTTTTTATCACCTTGAGTGACTGTTTCCCGCCCGCGCTCTACTACTACCACCACCACCACCACTACTACTACTGAACGGCTTATTGCGGTACATGCAGTATACCAGCAAGCTACATGTTATCCTGTTTTGCGTTTTGCGTCTTGTGTTTTATCCACTGCATATAAATTGCCGGGAAAGTAGTGTCGAGGAAGACTGAAAGAAAGAAAGAAAGAAAGGAAACGAGGCTCACAGTCCATTGTAATGTAGTTATGTATTCAATTAGACGGAGGAAAGATCGTTATAATGGCTTATCGCAGTTGCAATGATATCTTACGTTATACAGAATAAACAACTGATATCACGATAAGAGAGCTCGAGGTGTTCTGTATCACTTAGGTTCATGAGATTTGAATCAGTCAGGTGTAACTAAATCACTGTCAGTATTCCACGCTGATCGTGTTACTCTGGGTAGATTTTTGGTTGTGATACAGCCCCGCCATACTCCTCCTCCACAAGAAGACTCTTCTCAACCCCACGATACCCAGCTCTCCTCCTCCCAGTAGTAGCAATATCTACTAAACATTCCCCAGTAAGCGCCGCAACCGCACCCCGTCCCATTACCCGGCCCGCCCTCGTCTACTCGTCTCCAACACTAGGACTCCAGTCGTAGCCGTTGCCGCCCCACCTCAAAAACTTTGTTTCCACACCTCTTTCCCTACCCCGCCAAAACCACCCCCCACCACCACCAAATCCAGCAAAAATGGCAACGCTCTCCGAAGACCTAGTCGACGACATCCTGTACTTTGCCCGCGCCGGCGAAACCGCCGACCTCGCCTCCACCCTCTCCTCCATCACCGCCGACCCCACCACCGCATTCGCATCCGCCGCACAAGTGCTCGAGCTTGCCCTCGACGAGCACTCGGGCAACAATGCGCTTCACATGGCCGCCGGGAACGGCCATTTCGGTGCGTTCAAGATTCCCACTTCTTTCTCGGTGGAATTGGCCTAGCTAACGTGTAGTGTGTGGTATAGACACCGTCAAAGAGATCCTCTCTCACCTCCCCACGCCCGCCAACCAGCACGCGCCGCCGCACGCCGTCGTAGCGCACAAGAACGCCGCCGGAAACACGCCGCTGCATTGGGCGGCGCTGAACGGGCATGTCAAGATCGTGGAGGCGCTTGTGGTGGTGGCGAATGCGGACCCGACGGTGGTGAACAGCGCGGGCCACGATCCGGTGTATGAGGCGGAGCTGAACGAGAAGATGGAGGTGGTCGAGTGGATATTGGGCAACTGTGAGGGGCTGCAGGAGGGGATTGGGGGTGAGGCGGGAGAGGGGGAGGAGGAGGAGGGGGAGAAGAAGGGAGAGGCGAGTGGGAGTGCGGGGGCGGGTGAGGGTGCGGGGGCCAGTGTGAATGGGGCGCAGGGGATCCAGGAGGGCGTGGAGAGGCTGGACCTGTATAAAGGCGACAGTCGGGAGGCGTAGATAGTGGGGGTATATAAGGAGGGAATTGTAAGATAATATATAGTGGCGTAGCTTTTTCGGTTGTCCTTCTCTTCTTCTTTTCTTTTTCTTCTTTTTAGAAAGTTTCCTGGCGGGTAGAAAAAATATTCAGAGCTCTTTTTTCATGTAAATAATCCGATCTGCATCATGTTGTATCACTCGCATAATTGGCGGCACGTGAAGTTTGGTGACCAATGACCGCGTTTCTGGAAACACCGCAGTCTGAGACTCGAGGTGGAGTGCACTCGGCGGCCAACTTCATCGCCATTAGAGTCCACGCACAGCGGCAGCGGATCTCGCTATTCTGGCTCCCGATGGAACTGTGCATAATGCTCCGTGCAAGAAGGTCGGTGCTGGTTATGCGCCTTGGCCAAAGATATATAGCTAGGAGCTAGGGCTGATTGTGTCCAGCGGCCATGAGCGACCCAGAAACGCCTACACCGTCAGCCGCCGTAACTACTCCGAGTGGTCGAAACCCCAGACATCGAGACTGAAAGACCGCGGATGGTATATTGACTGCGGGCATGCTGAGACTGGATGTAGATGAGTCCCTATAGCTATGCAGTTCGAAAAGTATCAGTGTTGTGGGATGCGGGTTAGAGTGATGTGGTGATGGATGGGTCCGATGGGTGCAGACCATACCCATGAGCCGGAATTGGAGGTGGCTCTATCATCTTATCTGTAACCGCCCGTAACCACTTTACGATGGCGTTTATGATGGGGTGAGGGAAGGGAGTTCGGAGGGGGTATAGAAAAATGGGTTGGGCTTGTGTCCCCTCTGTTGGAGATGCCCCCTCCCCCCCCCCCCCCCCTCCCCTCCTAGGCTCGGATTCAGGTTCGTTGTGTGGCCTTTGCGTTTACTCCGAGGGTAAGGTTGGCTAAATGTCAATATGTCTGTTCGCTCTTGGTGGTGGAAGATAATTGTGGAGTATGGTGTCCACGGGTTATCTTGTGAATGATAGGTTACGCATGCATGACCCGCTCGTAAAAGATGGTAACTGTGGTCCACAATCTAACAGTCACTCCCCACGATCATCTCACTCGGGCGTCTGTAGGAGGTGGGGTAAAGGGCTATATCGTATCGTGCCATGGATAGGACACCGGAAACGAACTTTGCTGGATTTATGGTAGAGTGGGGTAGGTAATTCTACTGCTATGGTATGAGTTAAACAAAAAAAAAAAACTGCGGATATAGTCATGTATTATCACTCGGATCGAAGATACGCCTTGCAGCCTGCGCCAACTGGTCGGGGAAAGAGGAATACATGCGACAGTTCGCGAGGCGAGCTTTTATAATGATTGTTTTCGTCAAAAACATCTCTCCCACCGCACAAGAGAACAGTGACTGTACTATAGAGCACTAATCGATCGGAAGAGCTAGAGCTCCATCATGCCAGTTTAGGCCCAAAAACAATTTCAATTCATATATGCGTGATATGCTATTTCTGATGTTCGTTTCTACGTACCTACATAACCACATGTATTCCAAAAAAGAAAGAAAAAAAATTTCTTTTAGTATGCGCACCAAACAAACCCACTCGTACCCAATACACTATCCACACCACATACACATCTCTACCCCACGCATACTCTCACATCTAAATCGGCCTCATCATCACTACTCAACACACTACTCTCCTCTTCATACTCGCGCTCACACTCCCCCACTAGATCCCTATACCAAAAGAACTGTGCGAAAATCGCCAAGTCCAGCCCCAACGTGCCAAAGCTACCCAACAACCAGCTCGCATTCACCGCCACATACTTCCTGTACTCGTCCCTGGCCTCATCCGCATTGCTCGCGCGCGGCACATAGGCTAATATCGACACCACATACGTCAAGTTGCCCAAGCAGGCAAACAAGAAGAACAGCAGACTAATGCCGTCGCACGACTTACGCCGGTAGTTGAGCAGGATCTGTGGCAGGCGGCTGGCAAGGTAGAGGACTGCACAGAGGTAGCCAAAGACCTGGCCGAGTTGTGAGAACTGGATGTCGGCTGGAGGGGAGGTGGGGTCGTCATGGTGCGGATACTCGGCCTCGCTGATCCACCAGCCGAAGACGCCAGCGATGCAGACGCTGAGGATGGCTGTGAGGTTGAAGAGGATAGTCTGTGCGAGACTTTGGGGCCGCTCAAGGAGTATATCTTTGGAGAGGGGGTCGAGGAGAGGAGTGGCGGGGGAGAGGTGCGAGCCGTCGACGCTGATGGTTATGGTAGGGACGGGGTCGTGCAGCGTGGGATTTGAATTGAGGCGCTTGTAGTAGAGGCATTGGAAGAGAAGGACAATATCTGCAATGGTGTAGTAGACGGCGAGGATTACCTATGACGGTGAGTATCGTCTTACTAACTAATAATCACTGACTATGTATGGATATGGGGTATTTGGTACGTACCATGGTGGGCAATACGCCCTGTAGAACTGCACCGAGGACATTGAAGACGTCGCCAGCGAGCCAGACAATGAGGAAGGCCAATGACAGGCCTTCGGCGGAACCTCGCCGGAACTAAATAATCGTTACAAAACGTTCTTTACATCTGAGATAGCAAAGGCTAACTAACATTGGTTATTATCTGTGGTGAGAATACTACAATCCAGCAGGAAATTGATATCGACCTATGTGTCATAAGGGCAATTTGTCAGTCAACTCACAATACTTCATCGGACAACTACAACAGAACGAACGAACCCCACTATGCCACTGATGGCCCTAGCATCTACGTTTAGCTGCTGCGACGGCGGAAACATCATTATTTTTTCCAACAATTTATTGCAAAAAAGCTATCGTGGTGGTTGTTCGTTCAGCCGGTCCTTGTCCTTGTGTACCTGCTTATGACGCCATTACCATGTCAGTACGACATACCGGTATCCCAATTATAACCCGAAGCGATTAATTCCAGACTAAAAACTGGGGGGACTCACGAGCAAGCAAAAAGTGTATCTATAATTAAGCAGACAGAAATTCTCTTGGAAAGAGCGGAGCAAGAATGCGTTGTAACCAGAAGGAGGGCACGTCTGGAAAAATCTCAGCCCAGGACACACGACAGGACACAACCACTAAGAACCCCAACGGCCCTTTTTTCTTTCCGGGTCGCCCAATAATATCGCCGGCAGAATACGCAGGCCTATTTTAACCTTGCATCCGTTCCTGGCATGGCAGTCCGTTCTGAAATATGCGGGGATTAGAAGTGTGGGGAGATCTTACCCGGCCGGGCAACTAATCCTCATACAGCCTGTGAAGGGTTTTAGTTGCAGTGTCGTAGCCGGGTTTTCATGATGTCTGAAAATGTTTAGTAGCCCAAACTAGGCATAATGTAGACTACATACACATCCTGTTCCGTCCATTCCCAGAAGAAAAAACATGTCTCAGTAAGCTCAAAGAGGATTAATACCGCACATAACTAAGGTTTTATGCAAGAAGTACCGAGCCGAATAGTTGACATATTATCATTGGCCGTCGTCGGGAGGTGTCCAAAACTACATATGCGTCCGGGAAGTTTATATTAACATGAGGCATTGAGTATATGTCACTCAAGGCTATCTCTAGGCGCAAATATCAAATATGAGGTATGTGTGGATTTCACCCTCCTAGTCTATTTGTACCCGTCATATGATTGTTGTGTATGCCAGCGTTATTCTTGGCTAGCTTGAGCTCCACAGTCAAGTCAAATAGTTCCTGTCAGAGCTCAGCAAGGCAGGCGCCACTGACCAAAGCTTTCCACTGGAGTCTAGTCTTGCTTCGCTTTAGAAAATAACTACGAAATCCGCTCAACAGCATGTGAATGAGGCCTACATAATCTCCAGAGCTCATTGCGAAGCGAAGATACCCATAATCTTTCAGCTCCCCAGAGTTGATTCGGTTGTCTTTTGTGGTTGAAGATAGACGGATTGGTAAGGTGAATAGTCTAGGAGCATAAATCTGAACGCAGACCCAATCGAATGAGTGAAGGTAAAAAAACGCACATGGTAGAACATGACCGCTCCATTACGCATCCCAACTAAACCCATCTTTCCAGTCCAACGGGCCCAAGTAGGAAGAGGTTCTAACTGCACACCCCATGAAGTTTTGACCTCTGGGAGAAGTCAGGTTGTGCTGCCATAATCTTATGCGTCTCCCCGAGTCTAAGACAGCGATTTTTGCCATATACATATACATTTCAACTCATGGTCCTTCGATCATACCATCAACTCTAAAGTACCCTTTCACCATCCCTAAATGCTTTCCAAGGAACCGAATACAATTCCCATCCTAGTGGAGTAGAGTAGAGTAAAGCTCGCCAAATTGAAGGGGTGGATATCCCGCTCCATTTCATTCCATCCAAATAAATCCTAGGTGGTAATATATATAATGCCTTCCCCTCACAAACCATAAAAGTAGGAGAACACACGAAAGAAGTTAAACGAAAAGATATGGCAAAGTTATAATAAGCTGGCCAAATAACATTACGAATAAGAGAAAAACCAAAACTCCCATATACCCCCACTCCAATCATGCCCAAAATAAGAGATATTAATGAACAGAAAACTCAAAGAGAGAAAAAATCCGCTAAAGGTGAGTGCATATCATCACGCACCATATACTTGGTAAATACATACGTAAACATGACAAAAGAAATTCATCAAAATTCACTTCCTCACCGCCCAGCTTCGGTTACTGTTTTTATTAACGTCAGCTCACCCGCTTCTCCCTCTGCCGTTCGCTGATAAAAATCAGCGGATTCCAACTCTCCCTCCTCCTCCTCCCCTTCTTCTTCTTCATCATCACTACTGCTGGCGCCAGCATCGTCCTCTGAGCCACGTTTTCTTTCGTAATCCTTTTTGTGTGCATTTGTCATCGTCCGTCCCAAGCGCTCCAGGGCCTGCATGGCAGGACTTCCTGACCCGTGCCTCTTGATCCTACTGTTCCGGCTTTGCCTGTGGCGCATACCAGTCGCATGGCCTTGTTCGATATCCACAGTTGGGTGTGCAGGTGTGACAAGAAGTGGCTCAGAGTGTGCCTCCGGATCTGCTGGAACAGGTGATGCGACCATTGTAGTTGATTCATTGTCACTCGCAAAATGATATGGTAGTCGGGGATCGCGATATGCCCGGTTTGCTCCAACGCTGCAAAAGATGTCAGTGTCTATAATTTCCCCTTTTGTATTCAGACCACACTGGATGGAAGCCAACTTACTTGCCGCAGTGCTCGTTCTCCATACGGAAGAAACACCAGATGAATCGTCGGAATACTTCTCCCACAGAAATCATAAAACTTAACAACGCTGAGTGCTGTATTTCATGGGCATATATGATGTAGAAAACCCAGCTGAATCTCAATGGAGGATCGATAAACATGGCAAAATAATACGGCCATGCTTTCTTGAACCCAACCCTATCACGGAGGAACGGCCAGCGGGCGTAAGGGTTAAGGAGCGACCAATCCATCACAACATCCCAGAAAACTGCCATGATGTCAGAATCAAATTAAAATACCAATGGAATGAGAAACTTACTACTGACAATGGAACTGATAGTCGCCATTGTTATGAATAGGCCCCTCAAGACATTACTCGATTTGTCATTCCTCCACAAAGTCAACGTCAAATATTGCAAAATGGTCAATCCATATTTAGCGCCGTTGGCAAGATGAGGGAATGCCTGCCGCGAATCATGGTAACGACGGAAGCATTGTAGAAGACGCCAAATTGCCGGAATGCACATGAAAAAGCCCATTGTGTACGAATGCGAGGAATTGCATTGCTCGGGTTTGTCCCAAGCCTGGGCGTAGAGGCAAAAGTACAGATATATATTCTTCTCTGATGTCAGTCAACCAGTTTAGATTTGAAAATTCAAATAATAACTTACTCCGAGCGCGTAGGTCTGCGAGCATAACATGTCTCCCATCCAAAAATCTTTGAATTCAACGCGGTAGAAACCGGATAACATCAATCTCACCTAAAATCCAGTTGTCAGAACCCCAAATCAGAAGAGAATCATGATATTAAATAAGAAACTCACCATAGTAGTGATGAAATAGAGCCGGGCACGAAAGTAAAAGGCCTTTATGGGGTTAAACAAAATAACGCCGGCAATTGCAACAAAAATGATAGGGAAATGTATCATATCTAGCTCTCCTTCCCAAAAGTTTTGAATACTAAACCAGAAGCAGATCGTAAATATGAGACCAAAGAGCGAGGGAATTTCTAGGAATTGACGATGGTTGAGGTGGTGCCTATTATCAAATTCAAAGATAAAGGCATAATTGATCCGGTTTCTTGCCCAAATCCGAAGATTGATAGCAAATAGTAAGGTTTGAAGTAAAATAAGAAAAACTCCGCCCCATATCTATCAAAATGCATGGTTAGAGTGTTTGAATACTTCAAGGTATTGAGTCAGCTGGGGAACTCTACCTGCAAAATATAACTTGTTTGGACTTTCATCTCGGGATCTTCGTACGGATCCTTCAATATACGCAATGCTTCCCATACTGATGATAGGCCAATGACCAACGAAGCTCCCAGGAAAAAACCACTCCTCAACAAAGAGGAATGGTAAACAGACTTGTTCTCCTTGGTTCGAAGCCTCAATGCAGCTTCTTTACGATTTGACCTCGAGAAAAACCTTGATAAAAACAACCGTTAGTTCAACTTCTACCCAGATCTGACAATGGCATAATACCTAGCGAATAATATCTCAGTATCATTGATCAGGTCGTCGAGCTTATTATCAGTTCCACCAAAATAACTCTTATTGATATGTTCACCCATGAATTTCCCTGACGTTCTCAACCCAGAAACTTTATCAAATTTCTTCGTGATCTTCCGGAAAGCGTCACGGTTTAACTGCACATAAGACTTCAAGAGTTCCAGCCGATGGTAATACTCGACATACGCATATTTGAGCTTAGATTTCGCCAATTTGTGCCCAGGATCGTTGGTCGGTCTCCTCCGCTCGTAGTCCCTTCTGGCATCATCACTCTCCCTGTTTTCGGATGATAGGCTCACGATATCCGGATCTTGACCGCTGTCCTTCCCTCGCCCCATAGATGCAAGTGTATCTCTCCACCCAGACCTCCGACGTGCTCCTTCGACCCCATCTTCATGACCACTGGTAGCTCCCTGGCTACTACGCTTATTATTTGATTGCGAGATGTGCACATCATGAACGTCGCCAGCATCTCCTTCATATGCAATCCGGTAATGATGCTTGAACCACCGGTCTCTCAAAACATCTAGTTGCTCCTTCATTTCATCAAATCGTTGCACGGCCTCATCTTCCCTCTGCTTATAAAACTCCTCAATTCTTGACAGTTCTAAAATCAGCCAACCATGAAACTCGAATGCTGCTATAGTCTGCGCTTTTGTAATATCAACGATGCCAGTATCTTCTGTGGAATTGGGACCAAAGAAGGTTGAAACCCTTTTTACAAATGGCCGAGGACTAAATGTCATAGAACGTGCAAGAATACTTCTCATCGGTGTGTTTGGTTCTTCCTCTATCAATGGTCGCTGTGTTGTTTGCGGGGAGATCATTGAGTCAGGTAGAGGGAGAGGAGAAATTTCATCAATTTCGGCGGTGTTCGCGCGGAGCATGTGATGGTTGTGACCAGGACTACGGGGAGGCGTATTGTTCTCCAAGAGCAGCTCGACTAGAGGTTCTAGGGGCTGAATGGGCTCAGGAAGCTTCAGAGTAGGTGGTTCTCGTCGGTCATCGGTCGAAGAATTGGCCGCTGCTGCTCCCTGTAAGCTACATTCGATATTTGCAGAACCCCGCCTTGAATTACCGCCACCCCTCCAGTGGACTTCCCTCGGAAACTCCACTGAAGTTGGCGATGTGCTAAAAGAAAAGCGATTACCTGCCCCGGAATCCTGGGAACTGGAAACATCTTTGTTGAGGGCGGCAGGCCCTGGCGGGGACCAAGTAGGATTTTGAGATATGTTCCTCTTGGAATCGCTCCTCTTGGCATCGTCGTGATCGTGCCAATGGGGGTTCAATCCGCTCCTGGATAAGGCAGCACGAGCACGGGTTTTGGTGCGATTGAGTTTATCCTTTGCGTTGGTTGAGGTAGGTACATGATTTGATGGTGTTCGAAATGTGTACGTTACGTGCTTGATCTTCTTTTTCCCTTCCTAGAATAACGAACTAGGATCAGCAGAGGACTTGGTGGTTGATGTCAAGTGTTTATATCCGATAGATAAGGTCTGAGAGAAATAAGAGTTGACGCCTAGCCACGAGCTAGGTATGAGGCTCATTGGAAGGTCCAGAATACATGACGACCATATCACACCACTTTTTCCCGCCACATGGTGCTCGCCCAGTATCTTCTTCTTGAAGTTATCGGGAGTTGAGGTTCCTACCTTGTATTGTATATATTGGGAGCTCCATTCAGGAACCATAAGCTCCTCCATGGACCTAGATGCATTTTCCCAGCCGTTAATAAGATTTTCGCTGCAGTTGTTTGCATGACTGTGGTAGCTCAGGCACAACCCCGCAATGGGTGGGACTGGGAAGGAAAACCGAACCAAAACAACGGGGGTTTTTACTTACTTTGCGAACTTCATGACGTATGTTGCCGATTATATGAGTATAAAACCGTATAGTTAATCAAACCCCAAATTATGGCAGGTGTCCGAAATGGACAGGAATCAACAGCTGACCAAACCACAGACAACCTGGGAAGAGCGTCGGGGCGAGGAGAAAGAAAGCAAAATAAGTATGTATGTCCAAAAGACAGGAGTAGCTGTGAAAAGCAGAAAACGGTGAACAAGTAAAAGAGGGTCGGAGCAGAAAGCAGAAACAACCAAGACCGAAACCTAAACCGTGCGGATGCCGAAGTGCGAGCAACAAATGATATATAACAATTTGTGCACGCACTACTGCTGCTGTTATCATTCGGGTAGGGCGGGGCATTCACAGGCTAGACCCAGTCAATTATACTTGGAAGCTTGGTTGCCATCAAATACTCAAAGCAATTCGTTACATACCTGTCACCCTGCCAGTAAGGAATCATTCACATTTTTCCTGGTCAGTGGGCAGCCAGTAGTGTAATCACGATGTACCCTGCAGCAGCAGACCCGCATGAGGGAAATGGTCGTGTGTGTCTCTCTATTATGCGCCGCAATCCCGTAATCAGCAGGGAATAGGTTTTTGGGGACAAGCGACAGCCCAGTTGTCGATCAGCCGCCCAGACCTACTGTGCTATCTGAGACCCAAATAAATATTTGCCCTCTGCATGTTTCGCCAGGACATGCTAAAAAAGAGGCTTTGCGGACAGCCCCTTCAACAACCTAGCTACGATAACCAAGTACCATATCAACCTGATCCTGGGGGGGCCTACCAAAAGACCATAAAGGGGCACTTACAAGTGCTCAAAAGGTTTTACCCAGGAAAAAACGGAACCCGCCATTGGCTAGAGGATGGCAAAAATAGCCCGAAGTCTCATCTCCGAGTAGGATAATAATTGTTGATTCACATGGCTCTACCACACCAAGAATTACAAACTTGCCCCTGTGTTTAGTACATGTATGTATATCTAGACGACGGAAACAGAGAGTTTCGCCGCGTCAGTATCTATCACGATTTCACCCTGAAAGAATATTCGGGAGTCATTATCTAACAAGATTTGACACCGACTGTGTCTATGTCTTACTAATGTGAGTGCATGTTTTATAAAAAGTTGACGTGTCTAGAAGATTGGATTGTGATATAACTACATGTAGTACGTAGGTACATGTACGTATACGCCCTCCGTCTCAAAAGCTCAATTTTTGACGATGCCTCATGTTAGGTCCCCCGGGGCGCGACCCTCGAGCCAGGCGGGTTAGGAGACAGCCAGCGGCGTAGAAAGAACTTTACATAGGTACATACAAGATCTTCCATTTCCAACAGACGAATGAAATCTTGATCGCTAGGGAACCCCCCTGTAGATCTACTCTTTATTACTCTGACTCCATTCCAACGTGGTGAAACAAAGCAGAATAGGATAAGGCATTGGCTATCGGCAGTTTAAGTGGTTGTTATAAGATTCTCGCCAATTCAGCCCTACATGAACCTGACGTACCAAATCTCGATCTTTGGGTCAATGATAGACAAGTACATGTATCAGGTACTCTACCTACAAATGGACGGAGTATATAGTAATCCACTTGCATAGCATATGTACTCCCCACGTGTGTTTCTGAGAGGCATTCCAGACCCCAGAACAAAGTATATTTCCAAAATAAGGTTTGCTCAGCCACACAAATAAGGTGTATCTGTCATGCTCTAATCCTACTACTCCTCCTAAGTATCTACAAGTACCTACTCCTCATGTCATCGTGCACTCATGCCTAGGCAACCCACCAACCTTGAAGAACCAACCTACGATGAAGAACAGGCCTACGATGCCGTTCTCGTCGGGTTCTCAGGGCTAGCCCAGGGCAAAACGCCACTCAACTCTAATGGCGTGGTCTTACATAGCGCAAACCGCACTAGGCTACTTACTTGTGAAACAGCAGGCATTCGAATTCATGTCGTGATGACACGATTGATAACCGTTATTGTTCCTAAGCAAATCACACGCAGTGATTTATGCACCTTGGAAGAAGTAATTAACGCCATCCCTCAGTAACGGCAATGGGGAGGGAACCCGTGAGCTTATGCTGGATAAGCATGCCCAGACACACTTACAGCTTTGCAAAGACCAATGGGTATATAGAGTATACTTGCTATCGCTTTCGACTATGATCGACAATCGAGCATAAATTTCACCTTCGTATTTGGTCCTTTGCAGCATGCATAAAGGCTTTTTTAATACTTTAGCTTTTCCTAATTGAGTGGACCGGCGCGCGGATAAGGATACAGAGCGCCTAGAAACTTAGCCACAACAACAGCCACAACTTCATGTTCAATTCATTCAGCCCTTTATCAAAGTTATGTTGTTGTTTAACACTAGGGCCTTACTCTATTACGGTAAGCAAGTTTAAAGTTATCGTCATCGCCCGATCAAGATACAGTGAGCTCATATCTTCCAGTAGAAGCAAGCTGACTTCAAGTCCTGCATAGCCAGCTAACAAAGAAAAGAGACGGTCCATTAGTTGACTGTATAACGCTTATCAATTGCCTCTTAGAATGAATATTAATTGGTAGCAGCCTGGGAGGGGTAGCGGGGCCAGCGCCGATAGGATTGAACTAGATTGGCCATTCACCAAAGCGCCTAAGAAACATCCTAGATGACTATATCCAGGAGAACAGGAATAAAGGATTCGTGCAATCCCCTGTCGACAGAATTCAGCGGGGTTAGTACAAAACCACATCGAGCTCCCAAGAAATTTTGCGGCTGTGGCCCGAGGTAGAACTCCAGGACTCTACGCCTAAGTTTCCACGGATCTTAATCTTTACCCTACTTCGCCCTATGCCATCCAATTAGATCTTTCCGTTAGATCTTTCCAGAATTACGGGATATTTTCTTCTTTCTTTCGGAGCAAAGTTCATGGACCATCACTCGAGGAGGAGGCAGTGTCGTTGTTTTTAAATTTAGTGTTTCCTGATATGGATGATGACAATTGCCAAGGAACGATTACAACCGGAATTCAAAAGACCCTTACTAGCACTACGAGCTACTGTACCGTGAAGAACTTTTCCTCTATGCGTCCTACTTACATTTTTATATGCGAATAGGACCGATGGGCTAGACCCCGTGGTGGTCTATCTATGACGATTTCCAAAAGCCAATTTGGTGCTCTTTAAATCTTCAACACTGACCTGGCTTCGTTCACTAAAAATACATACCTTCCCAAAATGCATCTACGACTCTATTTCCGGGCTGATTGGCGAGCTATAGCTAGCAAATATTTGATTGTTAGATCCAACTAGCCCGAATATTGCGCTGGAATTCGCTAAATGTCAATGACGTATAGAAGAGAAACCACAGATTCATCCTCTTCGTACCACATGCCAACGATTCTTTGCTGACATGTATACGTTTGACGATCGACAGAGACTGGGAACTTAAGGACCTTAGATCCTCTGCACATTCCGATAGCCTTCCACTGTGATCGTGGTTACTTGAACTATTAAGATCCCTGATTATGATGAGCTTTCTATTCTGCAGACGAAGGTCGTGAAAAACTGCCACGACCTTTTACTGAACGCCTAAGTAGATCTGCTTAATGATTGTTTATAGCCTTTAATGCATGACTGATCGTATTCGTCACTATAGAAGATAATCATCAAAGTCTTTACTCTTACTCATGATCAAAAAGTACTTTCAATTCCAACAAATCTGCCAATTGTTAGTGTAACCCGAATACCTAATCCATCAGTACCTACAAAATATTTGGTTGGATTGGGACGAAGAAGCCCCTATATATAGCTCGGAAACTCATCTCCAGAGCTCGAGCAATAGGAGTACGTACATAGGTACAATGCACTTTTAATTATAGAGGGTTCTTCCCGCAATTGCTTGAGATGACGAGCAAGACGATCTACTGAGATGTTTCATTGAACCGGTCTCAATTGGGATACACATGTGGCGCCTAAACACAGGCGAGTCTCGTTTGAGAATGGTATGGCCGAAGCCCAGAAATTTAAATGATATCGACACTTGCGGTAAAAGCTACATCTTATGTGCCCCTTACAGCTCGTCGAGTGATAATCAGTGCCGCCCCCAATCAGTCAACGTCGCCTGGTAGGATAATAATTCTACACATATGCAGTAATCCGCCGGCGGTACAATAGCAACCTTCTCTTCACCCTACTCCAGGCACCGTATGACCTGAATTCCATTACTCCGTATGTACAGGAGAGAAAGTATATATCTCCTATTATACCCACAAACCCACTTTAGGCACAAACAAGCTTTCCTCGTGGGTCAGATTATTGGTGCAAAATCTACCTACATACCTCAAATATTTCCCGCCATCAAAGGAAAGGGAAAAGGAATGGCGCACTGATTCAAATTTTCGACAAAGCATCGGCGACAAGATCCTCATTCGGAAATCGGCACTACCCATACGTAGACGGAGGAGGAAGGGCTTGCGGCTCAAAAAGAAAGGTTTCCATGATCAAAATTGGCAGAGCGAGCGAGCGAGCGGGCCCCTGCCTCCTATTCATTTGTATCTATGTCTTTTTTTGTTGTTACAACCCAGCATCTTCATCCCAACAATCGATCCAACAATCAATCAAATCAATCAATCACCTGAGTAGCAGCTAACTACTACTGTACCCAGGACGAGGTTTGTGAAGGGGAACGGAAAGAAAGGAACGAGAATAGGGAACACCCCCGGTAAAACTGCAAACAACAACTAATCACTCGCCGGGAGTCGTTTACTCACATCATCATCGATTATAAATCTACATAGTCAGCTTTTTTTCTCCTCAAGTCCTTCTTATTCTTCTCGCCCGGCCTGGCGACTTTGTTTCTTCAATTATTCGGTCCGAATTTCTATCCACACCATCATCACATAACAGTCCCCACAGCACCGTCATCGCGCATGATCTCCTCCAGAGCTGCCATTCCCCCAGTGGGTGGGGGGCTTAACGACGATGTTCCTGGCGCCGCCGGCGAGCTGTCGTTTGCAAAGTCAACGGCTGCGTGGGTGGCACTTGTCTGGTTCGTCTTTGTGTGGATTGTGGGCTCGCTCGGCTATATTCAAATGTTTGTTTCCTTGGTCTTTCCCTTCACCCCAACCCAACCCAACCCAACCCAACCCAACCAACCCAGCAGCAGCTCATCGTGCCCAGCTGCTACCAGCTGCCAGCTGGATAACGTGACTTTTGTTTATATCAAATGCCCCAAGAAACTCTCTACATACACATCATATACATAAAACCTACCGAGTCTTTTTAATTTTCTAACACCCACCACAACAGACGCCGGAAATACCGCAAGCCCCACGCCCAACGGCCCCCCCTGCTCGCCAAAGAAGCGGACGAGCTCCCCTTTGTCTCTATACTCCGTCCTGTTAAAGGCCTCGATGGCTTCCTGCACACCTGTCTGTCGTCCACCTGTCTCCTCGACTACCCGAAATCCAAATATGAGCTCATCGTGTGCATCGCGTCCCCGCACGACCCGGCCGTCCCCGTGGTCAACGAGATAATCGAATCGTTCCCGGACGTGGACATCCGGCTGATTATCGGCGAGGAGGACGTGGGCCCGAACCCAAAAATCCGCAACATGAGCCGCGGCTACAGGGAGGCCAAGGGCGACATCCTGTGGATCCTCGACATCAACGTCTGGGTCACGCCGGGCATCCTCGCGCGGAGCGTCCGCATGCTGGAGGGCACCGACAGGGGTGGGAAGGGATATAAGCTGGTCCACCATCTGCCGGTCGGTATCGATGTGACTGCACAGGCGGACCAGCTTGCGTCACTGGAGGCGGTCGCGATAAAGAATTCCGAAGAGCACCCGCTTCTGCCGGCGCAGCCGGTCGCGGCTACGGTACCCTTCTGGTCACAGATATGGCGCACTGGCGGGGGTAGGCTCGAGGAGAACTTCTTGTCTAGCTCGCACTGTAAGATGTACGTGGCCATCAACACTGTCGCGGTTGCCTCATGTGTCGTTGGTAAATCGAATCTCTTCCGCCGCTCGCACCTCAACGAGGCCACCCGTAATCCCGAACACCCCGAAAAGGAGGGCATCCTCGCCTTCGCCGACCATATCTGTGAGGACCATCTCCTCTCCGAGCGCCTCTGGCTCACCAAGCTCGAGGAGGAGAAGGCCGGCACGCGCGCATGGAGCAAGCACGGGCTTGGCGAGGACCTGGTCTTCCAGCCCATGGGCGGAATGAGAGTAACGGACTACCTCGCGCGCCGCGTTCGCTGGTTGCGCGTGCGGAAATACACCCTCCTCGCGGCAGCGCTCATCGAGCCCGGCACCGAGAGCTTCCTGTGTTCGCTCATCGGCGCGTTCGCCGTGACCACACTGTTCCCGGAGTGCTGTCTGGACCTGTTCGGGGGCGTCATGGACGAGCCGTCGACGTGGGTGTTGTTTGCGCTGTTCTGGCTGGCGAGCGTGATGGCATGGGCGGCGGTCGACTATGAGCTGTTTATGTTCCTGCACTCGTACCGCGGGGTTGAGGTGGGGAAGAGTACGCCGCTGTTTGTCACGGAGGAGCTGGGGGGGAAGCGTGGGTTTGGGGCCTGGCTGGCGCAGTGGGTGGGGAGGGAGGCGTGCGCGTTTGGGGTGTGGGTGTGGGGGATGTGGCCGGGCGAGATTAATTGGCGCGGGTCGAGGTACAGGATTAGGTGGAAGGACCTGAAGGCGGAGGAGATTGGAAGAGGGCCCGGGAAGAGGGATTAGGCATCCTGGGTTGTTATGATTTGATTTTTAAAGCATTGTTGTATTGCATTTTTTTCTTTCTTATGATGTTGAAGCGTTGGCGATATGCATAGCGATAGTTGTTACGACATCTTTTTAATGAGCCTGAGGTTTTGAGAGTGGCCGGCGGACTTCGTTTCTTCTTTTTTTGTTCCGTTCCGCTTCGTTTCTGGATGTAGACTTTGTAGATATGGATGTATTTTGTGTAGATGTGTAATTATGGACCAACTAGGTAGATCGGATCATCACGATCATTGATAGACAAAAAGCAAAACCCGCTGGACTTGTTGGAAACCGAGAATAGAACTAGAGGGTTCGAGAGTTAGACAGGTATACGTACTCTCTGTCTGTAGGCAGCAAATGCAAGTAGAGTAGAGTGGTGTATCATCTCCCAAACGCGCGGAAAGTGCCTTCGGGGCATATCATACTTATAGTTATAGGCCCAGCCCACCCGGAACGCGTGGAACCCGTCACTGCGAGCGCGGATACGGATGCTGGCGCGCCCGCATCGTATCGCCCGTATCGTATCGCCCGTATCGTCGTCGTCGTGTTGTGTGTGCCGTGCACGGGCTCTGGCTCTGGCTCTGGCTATTCTATTCTGGCTGTGCATGTCGGAGGGTCCGCGCACGGCCTCTGGTGTTGGCAGTGCTAGCTAGCTAGCTACATGTTAGGCGGTTAGGAGAGCAGAGAGCAGAGTGGGGGAAGAGGGGGGAAGAGGGGGGAAGAGAGGGCGTTGGGGTACGTGTGCTATATGTACCCGTAGTAATGGGGGGTTTGAGACATTTTAGGGGGAAGTGGTGAGGGGCGTCATCGGGTGTCACTCGGTGGGCATTCGGAGGCCGAGGGGTTTCGGGGGCCGGGGGGCATTCGGCGGCCGGGATTTGGGGGGGCGGGTTCCGAGGGAGCGGGGGGAGTGGGGGGTGGAAAATTCCGGGGGATATTACTGCTACTCAGGTATTTTTGGAGGTTGGAGGTTGGGGGATAGGATGGGTAGATGTTGTGCGGTGGGTAGGTGGGTAGGTGGGTAGGTGGGTAGGGAATCATTGGCAGTTGCCGTGATAACGCGTTCGTGGTGGAATTCTGGTTTCTGGCAGCTGGTTAGTTTGGTGGCTAGTTGCTATGACATTTGTGATAGTGCACGGGGAACATTGAGCATGGGCTCAAACGGAAAGAATGATACGGCCTTATCTTATTCGAACACCAGGGCTGTGTTGGTGACTTCCAAGCTGTTTACACCATGCATGAATTAACAGCTCTAGTTCGGTGGCCGGCCAGGGGAATGGTGAAACGGCTGGTTTCTTTGAAAATCCGAGGGACCCGTAGGCAGGGTACATGTGCGTAGGGTGCGCAGTTTGATCGTCTTTCCAGCATCCTGTTCGGGCGGGTTGGTTGCGTGTCCCTTTTATCGGTGGTTTTTCTTTTCTTTTTTGGCCGAGCTGTCATGGAGACCTCTGGAGTATCATTGTGGCCTAGATGGAGTATGATAGATCGGAGGTGATTGTTACTCGTCCTACTCTAGCGAGCCTGGGGGGGTGTGTTGACTGATATCGTGAACTTTGTCAACCACTATGAAAACGAGTGACATCCCATGACTAAACCACAATTAATGATGAAACCCATATACAGCAAAATCTGTCACATCTCTATTCTTATAGTGACGAAGCTTTCCTCGAGATTGAATAGGTATGGGATTTGAAAAGAGGTGTTTGTTGGTAAGCGTTATATGTATAGGATTTGCTTTCTCTAAACGCTGGAGGTTTCGTAAAATATTTGGGTTTCGATGCAGCGCGCGGGATTATGACAGGTTTCTCTGTGGAGTCCTACGTACCGGATCTTTTCTTTTGCATCAGTTGAATATAACTCCGTATGTAAAAGTTCAGGGTTACGAAGGAGGAGAAGCTGAGCATGAGGAGGGAGCAATATTGCTAGCTATATACTCGCTCGTTAATTAAGAGGTCGGAAGTCGTTGCAACCAAATCCCCACACAAAAATTCCGACCTTTTAATTAACGCGCGAGTACGTAGCTAACTCCTGTATATAGTTAGTTAATCTACTGTTTTATAAATTGGAAACGTTTCGTTAAACCTTATATAACCCTACTAGAGGTTTTCCCGTTTATTACCAACCAGAAGCATTTCATTATCAATTTAAACCAGGTTGGTGAATGAAATAAAGCCTTACGTTCCTCTTTTCCCTGCAACTCCGGCCTGGGACCTTTTTTGCCATTGGAAGTCCTTTCCCGGGCGGAGTAAACAGAACAATAATCTTATTGAAGGCCTGTTAATTCCGGCATATTCCAGTGCACCCTTAACGTTCTATGTAGGGTGCCTGGGTGCAGGGTTATGGAGCGGTAAATGTGTCAAAAGTAATTTTTACCAACGGTAGTAAATTATTTACCACCGGTGGTATAAGCACTGAATTTCAGTCATTGTATCTGCACGCTATCCTACATTAGTACATTTCCACCGGTATAAACACTGAGTTTCGGTCTTTATGCTGCGCTATACTAAATAAGTAAATGTTCAATCATTAATGCCAAAACTTATGAAAATTTCCCACCGATGGTGAGATTCCCCACCGGTGGACAATTTTCATATATATTGGCATTATATGGCCCCTTTTGGCCAAAAGGTCTGTGCTTTTATCATAAAAATTAGCATTATAGGGTATAAATACTGGTATTATTTTCACCACCAGTGGTAAAATAATTTACTACCGTTGGTAAAATTACTTTTGACACATTTACCGCCCCATACAGGGTTAGGCTCTCTGATCTTAGGGGCCAATTATTACCCGCCATTTGCGAAATTTCTTTCCGTCCTGACCTTTGATATATTAGGAGATATAACCCTATATCCGTCGCGGACCGTTAATTGAATGGAGTCTAAGGATGAGCTAATGGCCGGGAGGGAGGAGAGACCAATAATGAGCAACTGTCACGCGAGAAGCTAAGATAATAGTTTAAGCTACGATTATGAGGCCGGGCAGAGATCTGATCGATATCACACCTAACTCACGAGGAGGACCAGAAAAATGGCAATAAATTTACAAAAAGTCATGCTGAGGGAAGTTTCCCAGCTAGGATTGTTCTGACGGTATTGCTGCATCGTAGTCTTTTTGACGTTCTGTGATTATGGTCTGGTCTAGCTAGCTTCCGACATCTCCACAGCCCATTCCCCTAATGTACAGGCCGATTTATAGCTAATTGATCTAGGATGCTGTGGCATAACTGATGGTCCTGAATACACTCCGGGTGGGGAAGGGGTTGTTGTGAAAGTATGCTCCCGGGGAATGAGGTGTAGGGGTTGCCCATGTATGTGCTTTGGTGGTATTCTTAGGCTTACAGTCCTCGGTTTGGTCTAGATCTGGTGGCATTTCTTTACGTAGGGATGCCTCGTCTTGGTGATGGTACTTGTCTACACTATACGAAAACCCTAACCCATATACCTTCCAGCATGCTTTGAAGGAATACTTATCCACCAGTCTTGTTCTTCTTCCAGTACACACAAGCAATTCCAGAGAGATAGGGTCATCTCACGTCTATCAAGGCACTAAATGGGCGCACGGAAAGAGTTTTGTAAGATGCAAGGCCGACAAAAAAGCAAGCCACACCGAGTGATAACCTATGAACTCGCTCATCACCTATCATCACGTATCATCACTCGGTTTCGTAGCGGCAGAAACTGTTGTATGTGTGTCGTTCAGGGCAATAATGTCACGGTGTCGAATAGTAAAGAGCCCGCTGTCAAGAGGAATGGTGTCCTCCCCGGCACCTATAAGATAGCTTGCATCAGCCTTAGACATCGATAACAATTGAAGCTTTATGACTCGTCCTGCTATCAACAGAAACGACCCAACCGAAGAAAAAGGCTATCTCTTCAGGCGGCCACGAGGTGTTGGAGGGAAGATCATCTGGAGCCACGGCTACAGCACTCGCGCAGCACCAGGAGGGAGGGTCCTTCCTTTTTCGGCAGTGTTGGAAATACGGGGGATTTTGGCATGGCTATAGGATGAATAAACTGGCGCGTTGATTTGCTAAACCGCTCTTCCCACTCTACGGCGTCTCATCATACGCCGGGGGGTCTTCTTGTGCGCACAAACTCGAGACGGAGGTCTCGACTCAAACTTACCATCACACCCCCTTCACCCCATCGGAGTCCCCGGGCTAGCCCACTACCTCTCCTCAGCTCTTCTACGATTTCCATCAGTCTCATAATCGCCATGGCGTGATGTTTACAAACCTTCTGCAGCACGCGTTCCGACGTTGCAACAAGATCTACTTGTATATATGTACGTATACGCATGCACGCACGCACAGTATACCACCGGTAGGTAACTGGTAATGACCATCTAGTCGTTTTCTCACATACCTTACTTTATAGCTTACACCTTACTGTATCCGCCAACACAACCCAGCCGCAGAGAAGAAACATCTACCCGACGGCCACACCGTATATGGCGGGCGGGATGGAGATGTATGCATGCGAGGTCGGCTCCATTTATACCCAGATTATATACAGCCGAGCGTAGATACAATCAATCTACATGTATGCAGTAATCAACATACCATATCCAGCTGAAATGACGACCGGCGGCCGGGATTTTCCTTTTCCATATATCCTCTTACCTGGTACCCTATCCACACTCTCTCCATCAAACCTCCTCATCTTCGCCGCTGTCTTTGGGCTCGTGTATAGACTATATTACCGGGATCGACATAACCCCGGGCCGGAAGCCAATCCCTATCTCCAGCGGATAAATCTGCGCCTCCCCGGTACGGTTCAAACCGAGCTAGCTGTAGATCTCCAATAAACCTAGCAGATAGGACATGTCAATTAAACGTGCTTACTTGCTTACACACCCGCGCAGTACCCGTTGCAAACATGACGTGTGAGGGAGACTTCGGAATGGGAAGCAAGGGGTGTCACGGGTGTGGTAGGAATGGTGATCAGCTGCAGGGTAGGAAGGTAGGTGTGGTGGTG